TTTTTTTTTTTTTTTTTTTTTTGCTGAATGAACAACCCTATCTGTTTTTATACATCTCTGCATCGAATGCAAATGCAAAACTCATGATTTCGAGAGCATGTCTGTGCGACATCCTTTTCCCCCGCATGCAGGACCAAAACACAGGCACATGATTTGCAAGTTTTTGAACTCTATAACAACAACCATTCATACTGCTAACGATCCGACTACATCAAGTTTAGCGCAAAAACGCATAATCTCGTTAGCAAGTCTGGTGCGTTGCTACCTAGGTTTTACTAAAAGGTGGCCCACGAGCTTAAGTATGTAAATCAGGCCCGCGTGTTGCCAAAATTTGGCCATGAATATTACAGATGAATTGGGCATAATAAGAAGCTTACCATAAATTGACTGCTGGAAATGTGTAATTCGGCATAAAATACTGTTTTTCTTTTGATTTTCATGCTGCTCCTTCAGTGTTTCGTGCGCTACATCGATAAAACTGAGATCAGTAAGATACAGACCTGCAGTGATTTCAGTCACAACCTCATGGATATTGGGGTTCTTAAGTCACCACTGACTGAGCTAATATGCCGACACTGGAGCAAGCGGTTTTTCCAGCAATTGTTATAATCGGCTACGCAAATTCTAGTAGCCATCTGTCAGTGTATTTGATTTCCTGCTCATATTCCGCTTTGTTTATTTCCGCCCTGAGATTGTACAGTTTCACTGTCTACTTATTACAAAACCCTCTCATATTTACTCATCACAGTTGTGGTTCAATGTGTGACTCATATGTGAATTACCAATAGCTCAGGACTTCCACTAACGCAACATTAATTTTCTGTACAGTCAGCTTTATTTCTCCCTTTTTCCTCTTCACCTTCCTTCGGTAATCCACATATCTCTTTTAACATGACAGAATGGGGCACTGTACTGATGATTCCCACCCCATTCCGCACTGATTCTGACGTCTGTGTTTACGGCTCAGGGATGAAACACATATAGGATACCAGCTCAATGTACATACAGGCTTGCTTATCTGGA